CAAAAAAACCCCCCAAATACAAATCGATTTTAGAAACAAATTTTTCCGTTGTTACCCAGGCCTAGAAAATACATTTTATTAAGTGAAATAGGCTGGACAATGTAACATCATTTTTATTAGTAAAATTAATGTTTCAAGGACTTCGTTCAGCAAATGCTACTCTGTTTTACAATATTACCTTCTAGAAAGAGACAATTTTATTAGTCTGATCAGAGTTCAAAGGATTTTGTATCCCACCTTTCTGTGCCTGCTCTCCGCAGCAGCTAGTTGGGATAACATTTTCTCTTGCATGTTCTTGCAATGTTTCATCACTACCTTCAGGATGGATAAGGGGTTGGCACAAACAGGTTGCTTTTCACCATAATTTTCTTCTTTCAGTGCTTCAAAATCCCGCTGAAGAGCCATTAGTGGATCACTAATGTTGTATTTTCCATAACGTTCCTCAATGAAAGTATCTCTATGCTGGGCCTGAAACAATTGATCAAATATTTTGAATTATAAACTGTCAAAGAAAAGGAACCTTCAGGATAAAACTATGCCATCTCACAGTAACAGGAATTTAGCAAACACCACAAGACAACAGTGGTCTAGCTATTTAAAAAAACACAGTGGGGCTCTAGCGAACAAAGACTACATTAGCTAGAGACACAGATAAACAATGAGTGGGAGATCCGATTCAATCTAACAAGAAGTCTCCTTACTATGCGCTATAAGCTAACATTTAATCTATCTATGAGGACAGACTGAAAGGAAGAGGGAAGTGGACCAAAAGAAGGGTATGACCAAGCAGCAAAGTATGAAAAAATAGGAACGAAGAAGGGAGATATTGGCTGAAGGAAGGGCCAATGGAACCAGCAGGAACAAAAAGCAAACTGGTTAAAGATGCAGAAAAAAGCAACAAATGATGAAAAACTAAGGTATATATGATTCACAATATATGACCATGATTCTATATCCTTTCTCACGATTTACCAGTCCCTTGTAATTTAACCTAGTTAGATGAATAACCTCTCTCTCTCTCTCTCTCTCTCTCTCTCTCTCTCTCACACACACACACACACACACACACACACTTCTATAAGGAACTGCCACCCAAGAAAGTTAGTTAAAAAGCTAGAACATTGCTTCTGGATTTTCTTTTTAAAACACACATTGCTGAATAACTTTGGGATGTCCAGGTATATTTCTGGCAGACCACAATGCACAGGGATTCAAGTCAGTTGTATATAATATTCTATGTGGCATTGAAATTTAAACCTTACTGCAATCTACCCAGCATAGAACAAATGAGCATGAGTAATTTCCACTCATCATGATCACCAACTGCAGTAATTAATTTACATTATCAGTAACCCAAAAAGAAACCAGTCTCACTTAATAACCCAGAATCAAAATAAAAACTCTTTGAACTGGAGATGCAAAGTGCTTGCTTATGATGATGCTTGCTTATGATGATGATAATGATGATGATAATAATATTTTTATTTCTTATTTGCCTCTCCTTGTAGCTGGAGGCAGGTTACAACATTGTTAAAAAACACACCCATCTAAAAACATTCTACAAAATACACATATTAAAACTCATTTCTAAAAAAATACATATTAAAATACACAGAACAAAGATTAAACATAAGATGCAAGTTTAAAATTTGTGATTAAAACTGTCTGGGTAGACCAGTAACAAATACATAAAGGTTAATCGTTGAGGTTTCACGGCTACTTCCTTCTACATTGTTGCGAATGTCAAGACAAAAGATAATACAGCCCAACCACCATCCATCTATCCATCTATCTATCTATATCATGGTGTCTTGTTTTTTAGGCCTGTTTCTAGGGTTATTTGGGGAACAGATTCAGAAAATTGAATTGGATAGACTGTATCAGCTCTAGTTTCTTAGATATGGTTATCACTTTTTTATGGGTGAGAAGATGAAGACTGGTATATGGCATATGTTCTGTATCTCAAACACTAGAGCCGATGGGGAAAAACTGGTGTCGTATTTGGTATCAGCGGGTCAAATATACCAACAAATAGGTCTAACATTTATGGCACCAAAATGTGTGTTGGCCAGTGTAATTAATGAATACACAAAGATCTTCATGCAGATGAGATAACTTGTCATCATCAATTATTACAGAATTTACTTGACATTTGTTATACAGACTCAGACAAGTATTGCTCTCACCTCTGAATATGAAAGTTTCTTTAGTCTGCATACAAGGAGGGACCCAGAGTGAGTGGAAGATGATGAAAGCAAAAAAGGGCCTTTGAGGCAGATTAAATTAACAAACACCTTGCAGAACAGGTCTATGTTTCATCTCCCCCCCCCCCCCAGATTTTTTTAAGTTGTGTATTTTGTGAAAAAGAACTCATAACATTAGTTACCAAAGAACCCAACAATTTGATAAGCAAAATTTGGAAAGTGTTTGGTGATTGTATGATGGGGAGAGTAGGCCCCTTTTCTATTCAATTTTCACAAAGCCAAACAAAAGCCTGGCAGGGATAGGAGGGATCAAGCTACTGAGGAAATGCAGGGCAGCTGGTCTGAGTGCTCTGAGCCTTGAGGAAAATGTTCAAGAGAAAGAAACTCTGGTAAGAGTTCACAGAAATGTTTGTTCATTGCCACTATTATCCACTGTAAGCAAAACATGATGGAGAATTTAACTTTTAAAAATGAATTCAGCAAACAGTTAAAATAAGAGCAGCAGCACTTAAGGAAGAAAATGAAAACTATCAGAAAAAAGGAGCAAAATGGGTGTGCCTGTATTCAGTGCACTAAATGGGCACAACGACGACAACTGCATATAAGTTGTCTGAAAACCAAATTCTATGAAAAACAGCTTAAAAGGCAGGGTATGCTTAGCTTGCAAGAACAGAAGGTCTAAAGAGGACATGAAAATCAAGCTGAAATATTTGAAAGGATATCATATTGAAGATGTGCCGGCTTGTATTCTGCTATTCTAGAGAACAGGACACAGAGAAATGAATTCAAATTATTTTCCACCTGAATATTAAGAACTTTCTAATGGTAAGAGTGGCTGGACAGTGGAATATGCTTCCTCAGAGTGCAATGGAGTCTCCTGCTCTTTAGATTTTAAAGCAGAGGTTGGAAGGACGCCCTGAGTCCCCCCTCGGGGGTGAGAAGGGCGGGGTACAAACGCAGGAAATAAAATAAATAAATATATAAATTTCTCCCTGCTGTCAAAAACAGCCTCAGCTAAGAATAGTGTGTCTCTTCTGAATTAATGCCTGGATGAGGAAAAGCTAATTGATGAGCTGGATGTGGAAAAACAGAGGTGCTTGCTATTAAGGGTCCTAATCTGAGGATGGAGGTTTGTCAACCAGTTCTGGATGAGGTTGCATTCCCCCTGAAAGACTGTGTTTGCAGCTTGGGAGTGCTCCTGTATCTATCTCTCCAAATGTCAGCCCAGGTAGATGCAACAGTCAGGAGTACTTACTAATTGTGGCAACTGATACACCAGCTGAGACCCTTTCTAGATTTGGAGGACCTAAAGATGGTAGTACTGGTAAACAAAAGGTTGGACAACTGCAATGCACTTTATATTGGGCTACCATTGTACCAAGTTCGGAAACTCTAGCTGGTTCAAAATATGGCAGTCAGATTGGTTGCGGGAACATTCAGGAGTGAGCATATTACACCTATCTCAAAGTCACTTCACTGCCTGCCAATTAGTTTCTGGACAAAGTACAAAGTGTTAGTTTTGACTTTCAAAGCCCTACACCAGTGGTTCTCAACCTGGGGTCCCCAGATGTTTTTGGCCTACAACTCCCAGAAATCCTAACAGCTGGTAAAACGGCTGGGATTTCTGGGAGTTGTAGGCCCAAAACATCTGGGGACCCCAGGTTGAGAACCACTGCCCTACACGGTTTGGGTCCAGATTACCTAAAGGATCACCTTCTCCTGTAGAATCTACCCCACATATTCAAGTCCTCTGAGATTTGGTTACTCTAGTCCACCAGAACCCGACTGATGATCATCACTCTTCCAGCAGGCCTACCCAGCCTGTTTTAATCATGAATTTTAAACTCGTGTTCTTCGTTTTAATCTTTGTTTTGTGTTTTATACTGCACCTGTACCGCAAAAAACTTGACTTGGCCACGGTGGTCCATGCTTTAGTTACATATTGGATGGATTACTGCAATTCCCTCTACGTGGGGCTGCCTCTGAAGATGGTCTGGAAACTATAACTAGTATAAAGATCTGCAGCCAGGTTTCTGACTACAGCAAATTATAGGAAACACACCACCCCCTATTAAAGCAGCTACATTCACTGCCCATATGTTTCCGGGCTCAATTCAAAGTGCAGGTTATTACCTACAAAGCCTGATACTGTTCAGGTCCAGACTGTTTATGCGACCACATCTCTCTTGATGAATCTGTCCGGGCCTTAAGATCTGCTGGGGAGACCCTTCTCACAGTCCCACGTCTATTGCAAGTGCGGTTCATGGGGACAAGGGTGAGGACCTTTTTGGTAGTGGCCCCTGGCTCTGAAACATCCTCTCCAGGAAGATCAGGAAAGCTCCTACATTTTCAACATTCTGGAAAGAACTGAACACCTGGCTTTATAAACAGGCTTTTGATAATGCTTAAACATAATAATGCACAATGGTTGGAGGATTTTAATGGAATTAAATTTCTTAACTAGTTCCATCAACCAGAGTGGCTGAGATATTTTAATTGCTTTTAATCCTTGTTTATTTATGGATGGTGGTTGTGTTAATTTAATATGTTTTGGTTCACTTTGTATTGATTTTGTGTTGTTACTTTTATGGATTTAGTTTAAATTGGTTATTTGTTTCATTATTCTTTATTGTTGTATAATTCTCATTGCTATAAGCTGCTCCAAATCCCCTCAGAGAGATGGGGCAGGATATAAATGAAGTTTTCAATTATTATTTTAATAAGTATTTTATAGAAATATGTTTTAATATCTTTTATAGAACAGTTTAATATGTGTATTTATAGAATCTTTACAATGATTATGTGTTTAAATGATCTTGCAACCCGCCTTGAGCTACAGGGAGAGGTGAGTAAGAAATTATAGTAGTAATAATAGTAATAATAATAGTAATAATAATAATAATATGTCAGGGATGATTTAATTGTGTATTCCTGCATAGCAGGAGATTGGACTGACCATATGGTCTCTTTCAACTCTATGTTTCAATAATGTGGGGCAGGTGGGGGGGGGGAGAGGGGGGAGGGTACAGAATACAACACTAACTATACAAGGGCTGGAGTACATGGTGGTCGAGGGTGTTATTCCAACTACGACTGTCCGGTTACAGAACTGACAAATTGCTTCCTATAAAAGACTCCTTTTGCAAGTCAGGCCAGCATTTTTTCATCCCCATCCCCACTCTAGTCCAAGTAGAAGATATGCTACAACTAAAGTAAAAGACATGGTTGACAATTCTTCACAGAATCCCACTTCTAGTTTTCCAG